AAATGAAAAACACATGATTTATGGCAAAATTGTGACTGAAGGATTAATTGCAACTCTTAGACGTGATGCACTACATAAGGCCATAGACCTGTCACTGGAAGTTGGAGCTTCGAGTCCCAGGAAGAGGCTTTCCTATAGTACCCTTGATGAAGGTACTTAACCTGAATTACTCTGTTAAAAAAAAATAACTGCTCCACAAATGGCTAAAACTGTAAACCCCCTTCAGCAAAAGCATCAGTCAGGTTACCATATGTATGTCATTGACATGGTCAACATACATCAAAAGTTTAGGTAACTAAGGCCTGCAGGACAGAGAAAGTTCGACTTTGTTGTTTCCTTCCTTTACATTGGAGCCCTCAACTGCTGCTGAAAGTAGCAGTAAAAGATAGAAATATACTGTAGTGGAGAAAAAAGAAGCATCAACATCACCAACCAACAGATTCCCTTAGAAAACTCCACTTGGGGAATCAAAATCGCCAGATGTGTTGAAAATGGCCTGAAGTGGTTTCCACCCCCTCAGTTTCATCATTTTTAGTGTTTTTTTTCTGCACTGTAAATGTCTGATGATGATAAAGGAACAAATCATGCCACTCGCTGCCCCTTCGGAAAATTTCTGCAATAAGTAAACAAAATGCGTTTATCATCATCATATTTCGCCTTTGAAAGGCGGGCTTTGCGTCGGACTCCAGGTCTAAAAGATCTCTGTACTTTACTGCAACAGGTGCAGGCGAGTGATAGGTGAATGTCTAGCAGCGCATGTAATGCGTCTTTTTGATCTGTGCCAGGCCCGACCGCACTCATCTCATCTGCTCACAAGCACCTAGTAATTCTAACTTCTCTCATTGCTTGTCCCCCAGAGCTGCTTTTAAGACCAACAAATCATTTTGGTGGAGTCTGTGGTTGTGCCCCCCCTTTCTTTTCATATGCAATTCAAGTAAAGCACAGTGCAGAACAAAGGGGGGGGGAGGGGTTATCAATCGACAGCCTACCACGTACAGAGTCCCACACTAATGAGCGTACGGAGCACTAATTTAAGTCAGAGGTGTGACATCTGGGACACGTTCTGCATCTCAGTGGGCTCCACGTCGCTTTTGTCCATGTACGCTTGTGCATGTACGTTTATGCATTACATATACCTATCTCACAAGCCAAGCGATCGCATTTTAATATTTTTCATTTTATTTGTTAGAGACCGTGACCGAGGCTGGGAGATCACACAGTGATTGCAGCTGGTACTTGATTTCTTGACAATTCTCATTCATCAAGGCCCTATTTTTGAGATAGCAGACGAACGGAGCTACAGACCTGAACACAGTCTGGAGTAGGGTGCTACACCATCCTCCCTTGTTCAGTCTGACAGTTTTCTGTAGGTACAAACTCATTTACTCGAACATCACTATGACATCACACACCTAAAGACTATCTACTGAAATGGACCAATGGGTGCACTTTGCTCTGAATTTGCAGCAAGTTCAACATGTTTAGTGTATGAGGTATGTAACTCAAAAACTGGTGAAGTTTCAAAAGATGTCTACAAACGTGTGTTAGTGAGACTTAAATGTATGCAATTACAACATTCGGGAAATTCATGCATAGCAATCGTGGCTTATATGATTTGTAATTAGTTTTTGGGGTATTACATTATATTTAGCAAAATATAATGTAAAAATTTTTAATATTTTATCCAAAATCTAGCTTACTAGTAATGTAAGAATTGTATGTGCATAACATGCGATGTTGGTATTAATTATATTACCCTGCACCTATTATTATTTGGAAGAGTATAGTACACTTCAGTTTTATTTGGAGGTTTGTAACCTATGGACTTTTTTAAGTAAAGAAAAAAGAGAAAAGGGTCAGTGTTGTGTTATTTGGTGAATTTAAACATACTGGAAGCTGACATTTGTTTTGTTATTTAAATCTGATGCACCTGTTCTTGTCTGGTAAAGTTGGGTGTACAGCAGCTCATTTTCAGTTAATTGTTATTTGTACCTCTTACAGCGCACTTTGCTTCAGTAAGAGGAGACCCTGTAACTTAGTGCAGTTTGGGGGAAATTGCAATTTGCAAAGTTCAACAATTTTGTTTTATTATGAAAATAGAACTTTGCATTGAACAAAACTGATTTTTGTTTGTATATGCCGTCAATCACAGTTTCTTAAAGAAAATCAGAATCGACAAAAATCAGTAATCGGAATCAGCCAAGAAAATTGCGATTGGTGTATCTCTAATGCAAAGTGATACACAACTGAGAACACAAGGTCAGCCAATCCCTGGAGCAAGACAAGGGTAAGGGCCCTGCTCAGGAACCCAGTGGTGAAACCACTCTGCCCATACTGGGAATTGAACCAGCAACCTTATGATCAGGACACCATCCTAACCTGCTGAACCACATAGCATCCCCAGCAGCAGATTAATATTTAATACTTCTTTAATTCACAATGTCCAGAATCCATTTCAATGATTTCCTTCCATTTACCTATCCATCCATCTTATGCACTTATACTGTTCAGGTCTGTGAGGGGTCTGGAGCCTATCATGGAGGCTACAGGGCCAAGGCAGGGAACTACCCAGGATGGGTACCAACCACAGGGCCCAAGGCAGGGAACAACCCAGGACGGGTACCAACCACAGGGCCCAAGGCAGGGAACAACCCAGGACGGGTACCAACCACAGGGCCCAAGGCAGGG